ACCTGATTTTTCAGGGGAAAAATTTTTTAATTAACAAACCCGTTGGTTGTGTTGAAAACTTCTCTGTGAAACTCCAAGCTGCGGTACTCCAATGCTGGAAGACCCGAGGACTCAAAGTACCGATCAATCGGCCCAGTGAAAAAGAGGTAATCGTGAGCACCCAAAGTTCCTCGTTTCCTGGACGTGAAAAACTCGGTATTCAGCTTCACTGTGATGGCAGGAGTGTCAAGCATTCGCTTGAAAATCCTCGTGTAACCCCTTGAAGGCAATCGAACCACGCACAGCACCTTTATGGACGGCAGACGCAACCTAGAGTGGCCCTAGGCGAGGTTTTGCCTTCCGAACTCAAGGCGACCTATAAACAGGGTAACGAAGAAGCACATCAGACAAGTAACTCTGTATTTAATTGAAAATTAATTGAACTTTGATTCGACATCCTCGAGGCAAAATGTTGAAATATCTGAAGCCACACGAGCCATTATTTATATAGTAATGTACTTGAATACCTTGAACAGAAGCTTGGAATTTAAATGAGGTTTTCATGGAGGCAGATTTTTCCAAATGTTGCGAGCGATTCAGAAATGTAGAAAACTAGAGAAAGTCAACTTTTAAACTGCTATACAATTCCACCATTCATTATATTATTCACTCTAATAATTTCCTACGCACCTCGCCCAATAACAAAAATCAAAGGGAATTAAAAAATCAGATTTTATGGATGTAAAAACGGCGACCAAGTATTTTGAAACCGCCCCAGGGATTTCCCAAATAAGCGTATTTTTTTTCCTGATGTAAAGCGTCGAAGGAACACTTTTAAACTCATATATATGAATTTATGCGATATGATGGAATTCAGTCTGAATTTTTCGTCAAGATTTTTTTTAACGGAATAAATATGAAACTGATTTACGTAGAAGTAGAATTTTCACCTTTGAAAAGAAGTTCGTATAGTCGTTCTCCAACTCTAGATTTTGCTGTTTCCTCGCTGTTTGTTGCCTTTCCGGACGGAGGAGTGATTTGATGCTTCTTCAACCAAGCTTTCATTTCAGTTTCAGTTTCGATTGTCAAATTGAAAACTGCATTCACGGTCTTGATATTCACGGGTACCTGTTTTCAGTTTTATTTTGAAGAAAAGAAATGACAATCAAAAACAATCTGTTTCAACTTTGTTCTTGGATTCAAGCTTGTCATAGTGCTGAAAATACGTGCGATGTACAGCATTATTTTTAGCCCTACCAGGGATTTGATGCTGTTAAATATTTGTCAAGGTATGCTGAACATAATACGCACGCAAAGAAAAATGTTTATGAACAAAAATGACTTATAACAAATTTGCCCATCAGCAGGACAGTATTTTCGAGAGAAAAATGCATTATATTTTGCTAGTTATATCTTTAAATTTTTGAGATCAATGTTGTAGAGATATAGTTCACCTGCGTGCTATAATTTTGAATAACCCTTTTGTATTTAAAATATAAAAAAAAATTGCCAGGCACTCTTTTTCATAATTAAAATTTTGTGCTTACCAAACCTAATACATAAGTGGATTTGTTTTTTTAATCAGGAAACCAATGCATTATGGCTCCATTAATTTGTTACAGTAAAATCTTGTTCCAACAAACTCCTGGCGACCTGAGAAAAAAAAATTGTTCGAAAGGAAAATTTGCTGAAGTATTTTATTGTGGCAGAGGCAGGATTTTTGAAAAATAAGTTCATTAGACACTTCAATATAAAAATATTGAACTGATGATTAAAGCCAAAGTTATTTGGATGTTTTAATCTATTTTATTTCTTAACCAAAATATTTTGGGAGTGCATGCAAAAAACTCTCGCTCTCTGGACTTTTTTCAATCTTCAATCAGAGTATCAACCCTGGATATTTTGGGGTTAGCTATTTTTCTGGACTTTTCAAATTCAGTTGTGCAGTTATACATTGTGGAATGTATTTTCTTTCATTTTGGCATCCATATACAGCTTTTTTCTCTGTTTCCCATTTTGAAGTGATTGAATGCGCTTGAATGGATTTGGGTTGTGTCATGTGCGGGAGGGGGTTTGGATGTGGGAATGTTGATTGAACTTTGTGAATGCTGAAAAGCAGAAAATAAACCTTCCTGTTCATTTATTCACATTTAGTTCAATAAAATGGCGGTTTGGATAACTTTGAAATGCGCTAGACTGAAAAAAAATCCTGGCACTGCCAATAAATGGGAAACAACACTCTGCCATAATTTGCAGGTCAAATTAGAGAGAGAAAAAAAACCACGTTTTTCAAGTAAGACTAAAAATCACAAAAAAATTTAGTAGATTAAAAAATTAATTTAAAAAACCACGTTTTGAAAAAGGAAAAAATAACCTTAAATGTGGTGCGCATCTATTTCATTTGTATTTCACTTCTTCCCAACAATCTCCATGCGCACCATGTTTAAGGTTATTTTTTCCTTTTTCAAAACGTGGTTTTTTAGATTAATTTTTTAATCTACTAAATTTTTTTGTGCTTTTTAGTCTTACTTGAAGAACGTGGTTTTTTAGATTAATTTTTTAATCTACTATAATTATTTTATTCTTTTTAAAAAATATTCTTAAATTTTTCTTTTCACAAAAGATTGCATTGTCATCAGTTTCTAAGCTATCCTGAAAGTTTCAGCTTGCTAGCTAGTCAGGAAGTGAGCAAAATTTGANACCTGATTTTTCAGGGGAAAAATTTATTAATTAACAAACCCGTTGGTTGTGTTGAAAACTTCTCTGTGAAACTCCAAGCTGCGGTACTCCAATGCTGGAAGACCCGAGGACTCAAAGTACCGATCAATCGGCCCAGTGAAAAAGAGGTAATCGTGAGCACCCAAAGTTCCGCGTTTCCTGGACGTGAAAAACTCGGTATTCAGCTTCACTGTGATGGCAGGAGTGTCAAGCATTCGCTTGAAAATCCTCGTGTAACCCCTTGAAGGCAATGCTTGGTGCGTGTCGTGGAAATACCTGCCGTCTGCGTTGGATCTCACCGGGATCCGCTCCAAAACGGAAGGCTTGAGTTCCGCTGGATATTTGTCCCATTGCTTCTTCGTGTAGTCTGTTCATTGAGCGTATTTAATTGAAAATTAATTGAACTTTGATTCGACATCCTCGAGGCAAAATGTTGAAAAATCTGAAGCCACACGAGCCATTATTTATACAGCAATGTACTTGAATACCTTGAACAGAAGCTTGGAATTTAAATGAGGTTTTCATGGAAGCAGATTTTTCCGAATGTTCCGATGAGTGGTTCAGAAATGTAGAAAACTAGAGAAAGTAAACTTTTAAACTGCTATACAATTCCACCATTCATTATATTATTCACTCTAATAATTTCCTACGCACCTCACCCAATAAAAAAAAACAAAGGGAATTTAAAAATCAGATTTTATGGATGTAAAAACGGCGACCGAGCATTTTGACATCGCTTCAGGGATTTCCCAAATAAGCGTATTTGTTTCCTGATGTAAAGCGTCGAAGGAACACTTTTAAACTCATATATATGAATTTATGCGATATGATGGAATTCAGTCTGAAGTTTTCGTCAAGATTTTTTTTTAACGGAATAAATATGAAACTGATTTACGTAGAAGTAGAATTTTCACCTTTGAAAAGAAGTTCGTATAGTCGTTCTCCAACTCTAGATTTTGCTGTTTCCTCGCTGTTTGTTGCCTTTCCGGACGGAGGAGTGATTTGATGCTTCTTCAACCAATCTTTCATTTGAGTTTCAGTTTCGATTGTCAAATTGAAAACTGCATTCACGGTCTTGATATTCACGGGCACCTGTTTTCAGTTTTTTTTTTTTTTAAGAAAAGAAATGACAATCAAAAACAATTTGTTTCAACTTTGTTCTTGGATTCAAGCTTGTCATAGTGCTGAAAATACGTGCGATGTACAGCATTATTTTTAGCCCTACTAGGGATTTGATGCTGTCAAATATTTGTCAAGGTATGCTGAACATAACACGCACGCAAAGAAAAATGTTTATGAACAAAAATGACTTATAACAAATTTGCCCATCAGGACAGTATTTTCGAGAGAAAAATGCATTATATTTTGCTAGTTATATCTTTAAATTTTTGAGATCAATGTTGTAGAGATATAGTTCACCTGCATGTTATAATTTTTGAATAACCCTTTTGTGTTTAAAATATAAAAAAAATTGCCAGGCACTCTTTTTCATAATGAAAATTTTTTGCTTACCAAAGCTAATACAGAAGTGGATTTGTTTTTTTAATCAGGAAACCAATGCATTATGGTTCCATTAATTTGTTACAGTAAAATCTTGTTCCTACAAACTCCTGGGGACCTGAGAAAAAAATTTTTTAGAAAGGAAAATTTGCTGAAGTATTTTATTGTGGCAGAGTCAGGATTTTTGAAAAATTAGTTCATTAGACACTTCAATATAAAAATATTGAACTAATGATTAAAGCCAAAGTTATTTGGATGTTTTAATCTATTTTATTTCTGAACCAAAATATTTTGGGAGTCCGTGCAAAAAAATCTTGCTCTCTGGACTTTTTAAAATCTTCAGTCAGAGTATCAACCCTGGGTATTTTGGGCATAGCTATTTTTCTGGACTTTTTACATTCATCAGTTGTGCAGTTGTACATTTTGGAATGTATTTTCTTTTATTTTGGCATCCATATACAGCTTTTTTCTCTGTTTCCCATTTTGAAGTGATTGAATGGGTTTGAATGGATTTGGGTTGTGTCATGTGCGGGAGGAGGTTTGGATGTGGGAATGTTGATTGAACTTTGTGAATGCTGAAAAGCAGAAAATAAACCTTCCTGTTCATTTATTCACATTTAGTTCAATAAAATGGCGGTTTGGATAAGTTTGAAATGCGCTAGACTGAAAAAAAATCCTGGCACTGCCAATAAATGGGAAACAACACTCTGCCATAATTTGCAGGTCAAATTAGAGAGAGAAAAAAAACCACGTTTTTCAAGTAAGACTAAAAATCACAAAAAAATTTAGTAGATTAAAAAATTAATTTAAAAAACCACGTTTTGAAAAAGGAAAAAATAACCTTAAATGTGGTGCGCATCTATTTCATTTGTATTTCACTTCTTNAGCAATCACAGCTCCGCTTAATCCGGCGCCAACAATCAACACCCGCCGACTATTGCCTTCAGCAGCATCAGTGTTGTTGTTTTTGTCTTTTTTGCCTTTCCTGTTGGTTGTGGCGTATTCATCGGATGCTGGGATGATGAAAGATGCCGAGGTCTTTTGAACGTTTCTGGGGTGTTTTCCGCTCATGCTCAGGTTTTTTTGAGGCGTGATTTTCGGGTGTTCGGAAGATAGCATGATGTAGAGGAGGTAGATGAACAAGATGAGACCGGCGATGCAGATTTTCGAGGTGGAGAACATTTTCCTGCGAGACAAAGCCGCGACTATGTGATCCATTCCGAGCTCAAATCCACTTCTCATACTTTTATTTCAGAAAAAAAAAAGCATGAGCGAATTTCCAGAGAATTCTGAAAATTTTATCAAGAATAAGAGGCGACGGGATTTTCTGCGCGATTCTGGCCTCAAACTGGCGACGGATAAAGAAATTTGAGACGTGAAAAGCGATTTCAGCTTCGTCATGATGCTTTTGCAGTATCTCGTGACGTCAGTGGATTTTTGCAATTCGCTGATTTCATTCCCATTTTCCAGTGTCATGCTTTACAGGGATGTTTTTCTTTTACTTTATTTTCACCCGAAAGGACGTCTGCTGCGGTTGAAAATCGTTCCACGAAGCTTCCATTACGCCTGAAGGCCGTGAATTCACTGCATCGCCTGAGCGACGCGGAACAGTTTTCAAATCATTCCTAGATGTCGCTGCATTTCCGCGAAAACTCGAGGGCGTAGAGAAATAAATAAATTTGCCATACTCAACGCTAAACAGTTTTACAGGCATTGTACGTCAATTTCTGGCGAAAAACCAGCGAATTTTACGGACAGGAAAATTAAATGTTCGTTAAGTACGTAACATGCTAAAAAAATGAACAGAGAAGTTGAAATTTTCAAAATTTGAGAGCACGGAAATCTGAGTGCAAATAATTATATAATTTTGGCTCAGACGTTGAGAGCAGATAAACAGAAAATTGTAAAGTTTACAAGATTGGAACTTCGAAAAAGTAGTGATTCTAATTTATGAATGAAAAAAGAATTGAGATGAAATAGATTTATACTTGAATTTTCGATTCGGTTGTAAATCATCACTTATGGATGACGAATGCCTTTAAATGTATTTTATATAATAATAATAAGAAAAACTCTGCTTTTTCAATTGAGGGGGAAAATTAAAAGATACATTTTCACAATTTATAATACTGCAGACCTTAGAAAGGTAAATGAGTTGGGGGAAAAGCCGAAAATACAGCTTGAACGGAATACTGTGCAATAATTGTTATCTAGAGTATGTGCTGAGATGAAGTCTTTTTTTTTTTTTTTTGATGACAGATGCATTGACATACTGCACTCAAAAGCTTTGTCATTCAATTTGAATCCTTCTGCAGCCAAACCAGGATTATTTCCAACATTTTTCGGCGCAGCCACTTGCAATTAAAAGTAAAACTGGTGAATATACATGAAGTCAAAAATTTGGCAAATGAACAAAGTGGCCCAAGTCTACAAGTAAGTCAAGCACAGAAAAATTCAGCATTTTTCGTTGAATCAATTACAGTACTTCTTGCAATTTTTGGATTACTTTTGTACCTCTGGAAAATGTGTTTCTGTGCAAAATACAGTACGGTATATATTTTAGCTGAACTTAGCATAGGACCTTATCCAATGAACACAACTTATTCTGGCAGTATTCTTGTTAGCTGGAATTTTTGTTAGGTGGATTGGAACAATGCCAACCTTCTCTTTGGGGAAATATCAATTTTTTTTTTTTAATTTCAAGAACATTTCCCTGTTTGCAGGCTGGTGAAAGAACCTCAAAAACATCACACACATTGACTGGAAAGTACATTTGGAAAGGTTTTTGCTAGGAAAGACCCCACTGCAACCCCAAGTTTCAGTTTCTAAATTATTAGTGCTGTATCTTTTTGACAGCAAAGTCTGCAGAAATATCCCAGCACATTTGCAGAAGGGGTTGAAAGGAATGACTTACAGCCAGTAGCCATATGTAGAAGACTCTTTCTCTCTTCTATCAAACTAACCCCAAAATGAGCAGCAGCAGCTATAGAAGCAGTTCATCAGCAGCCAGCGCACTTTCCAGATGAAAAAGCCAGGTATTCCACCAGCCATCCCCCCACCCCTCTAAAAAAAGGGCCGCTTTCCTTACACACAGCTATTTCAGTAGCAGTACAAAGAACCCCCTTTTTTCGCCTCTGTCACCCTCCCTGAACAAAGGGCGCGGCCATGTTTGCGCGCGCACAACCCCACCGGGGTGCGGCCAAAAGAGAGAGGGGGGGGGGGAAGGGTTTGCGGGGCGGGGTCTGCGTGAAGGCGCTAGGGGGAGTGGCTTAGCTCCTGCTCTGTTTTGGCCCGTCCCATTTGGCCCCTTCTAAGCGCGCCGCGGGGTGCGCCTGGGTTTTCTGGCCGCGGTTTTTTCATGAGTCGATGCTCGGCTGTTGCACGCTGTGTTTGTCGGCGGGGGGCGATTTCTGGTACCCGTTTTTTTTCACCTCCATGATGTAAGAAGGTTACCTTTTAACACCAGTGATGGCCCCTGTTTTCTAAATTAGTGTATAATTAATGAGTGAGATTTATTTTTTTTCGTGATCAGCCGAGATTTGCTACTCTCCTTCTTTTCGGCTGATGCAACGAAGCAAAGGCCAACAATTTGAGCCCAATGCTAGTGCACAAATGATCTTCTCATGGATCTGGATTTTGATGATGATATCTTCAACATATCAGTGAGACCCCCAGATGTGGACATAATTGGTGCATAAAGAGTGTCCCTATGTTGAATGGTCCTTAAGTCAAGTCTTGTTTTCCCATAGACTTACATTATATAATTTTTAATTGGTGTTTTATGAAAGAAATGTTCTACAGAATTCCACAAAAAAATGTTTGCTGCTTGAATTTGATTCAGTGAACATATTTTCAACCCAATAGGAACATTTGGAGCATTGAATAGTATACTGTTGTACAGTTCATTGAAATGCTGGCATCTGTAAAAATAATGCCCAAGTCACGAGGAGAGAAGGAAGTCCCACTGTCCTATGGGTATTTTTTCTAAATTAGCTGAATGGATGGGAAAGTGATGGGAAAAGTACCAAAGAATTTTTCTTGCATGGATCTTAAGGTTGGAAATATTGGTTTCTTGCAATTAAGCCTAATAAAAGTCAATTTTCCTAAAGTTTATTGGCAATTGTATCATGCAATGTCCTCATGTCAAGTCAGTGTCCCTATGTTGGGCCTATTCTATGATTTTTTAAATTGAAAAATAAGTGTCCCTATGTCAAATTGTTCCCATGTTGAGGTTTCTGTTTGTGGGGGTCTCACTGTAATTCAATAGTTTCCAACTGTAGCTGGAGAATAAAAAAAAAAAATTAGTGAAGTCTATCAATAAAAATGTGAAACTGTGATGGAATTTTGCATCAATAATTCATCCCGCAAATAGAAGTGGTCAACATTTGTGAGAACCCTTTCATCCCAAATTTGTTTCTTTCAATTTCCGCACGTATACTTTATTCAACCGGACCTGTTGATTATATGTTGATTATATTCAATGCACTTGAATTGACAAAATTTGTGTCATCCGAAAGATGATCGAATGCTCTAAAAATTCTGCAAATATTAAATTCTGAAAGCTTGAACGGTTCTGGAGATCCGTGAGCTAAATTTTAAAAATGGCCCCCTTTTTTCCTTGAGAACCCGGTATTCATTAGATCTGGATTACATCCGGTGAGGGAAATCATTTACAAATACAAATTTATTTGGAATATTAATTTCATAATTTTCACGGAATTTCGGAAGAGGTTCCTGTGCTGTATTTCGGGACACATTATACTGTATAGCATTTTAGCGTATACTGTATTATATCTCTTCCAGTAAATCGAAGCCTCAAACAGCAACTGCTGATTTTTTAAATTTTATTTCATAAACCAGTTTCGGAATACCCTGAGCAAAAGAAAAACGAAACCTAGCTGTAGTAAGACCCGAGTCTTCGCGTCTCAAACCTGTCATTCCCTTTTAATTTTTGCGAATTTCGGGAGTTTTCGTGCCTTCTTGATTCGAAACTTGTTTTTCAACAAGTTTCTTTCCGGATCAATGACCAGTTTCAAGATGAAAAGTTTTGGAACTAGAGACTTATCCATCAGTATTCATCGATGCTTCCGCATTTAGGAGGAGGAAAATCGTGACCATCATGCAGATGAAACCAGGATGGAATTTAAATAGTTCAAACCGAATGATCTCTCAATATAATATCATGAATAACATTCAAAGCATAATGAATATTCGAGTTTTCTGTCCAAGTGTTATTTGAGGAGCGCAAAAACTCTCGGGATTGGTTTTATTCGCGATATGACGATTCCTTGCAAATCTTTCCCACTGATCGCGAATTGATTTCCTCCCATTTTATTTCGAGAGCCAGGGAAGATACCATGATGAAAAAGAAGATGAAGTGAACGCAGTGGGAGAAAAAAGCAAATTTTCTTTTTGACTTTTATTCGCGGAGTGGTTTTCGAAAAAGCGTTGATTAAAAAAAATTTCGATAATGCCGTTGTCGGTGGCCGCGCATCATCGGCGCAAGTGCTGAGTAGTGACACACAACTGGCCTGAGGTTTCAGCAAAAGATCCCGGTCTGCTAAATTTTGCAGAGGGCCGACGTCTTTCACGAGAAAGAAAGATCGGTGCCCGTGGGAACCAGGATTGGCGTCCACAACAGGCCATGATCACGATGAACTCTGCCAATAATCTCGGGACCGTGTACGCCACCAAACGCAGGCGCCGCAACGGCAAAAGGTCGGTACTTTTATTATTTTTATTTTTTCAAAATGATATTTTCATCATAATTACTCGGATATCCGACCGAATATAGAGACGTATTTTCAAGCAGAAAAAAATACTTGGCGCGTCTTGATGGTGTTCTAACCCAAGGAATGTCTTCTTCACTCACTTTCAAATAAACAACAAAAAAGTGGAAATAATGAAAAATCATCGCCAGGAACCATTGGGTTGCAACAATTTATCCACTGATTTCCCTAACGAAAACCAGGGTGTTAATCTCACACAGCAGGAATGTGTGGCTTTTATTTCAAGCTAATCATTCAATTGACGAATTCATCTTTTTTCCATGCTCATGCTTCTCAAAATTTGCCACGGAAAAAATAAATAAACAAAAATCAGACTTGAGTTCGTGGGAAATTTCAAACAAGTTAAAAATACGTTATTGCAAGTGTTACGCACACATGAGCAATCTTGGATGATACAAAATTAAACCGAAGCTTCGTTTGAAATTTTTA